TAGCATAAATACTCAATATGCCCAAATGTGAACACTGGTGGAGTTTGGGGAAAATAGACCTTGACATTTGGGAGTTGTAGTTGCTGAGATTTATAGTTCACCTACAATCAAAGAGCATTCTGAACTCCACCAATGATGGAATTGAACCAAACTTCCCACACAGAACTCCCATGACCAACAGAAAATACTGGAAGGGTTTGGTGGACATTGGCCTTGAGTTTAGGAGTTGTAGTTCACCTGCATCCAGAGAGCACTGTGGACTCAAATAATGATGGATCTGGACCAACCTTGGCACGAATACTCAATATGCCCAAATGTAGAGTTTGGGGAAAATAGACCTTGACATTTGGGAGTTGTAGTTGCTGGAATTTATAGTTCATCTCCAATCAAAGAGCATTCTGAACTCCACCAACAATGGAATTGAACCAAACTTGGCACACAGAACTCCCATGACCAACACAAAATCCTGGAAGGGTTTGGTGAGCATTAATCTTCAGTTCTGGAGTTGTAGTTCACCTACATCCAGAGAGCACTATGGACTCAAACAATGATGGATCTGGACCAAACTTGGCATGAATACTCAATATGCCTAAATGTGAACACTGGTGGAGTTTGGGGAAATAAATACTCCTTGACATTTGGGAGTTGTAGTTGCTGGGATTTATAGTTCACCTACAATCAAACATATATACAGTCATGAGAATAGTTGTATTGAGTCACAAAATGTCCTTTGAGAGAGAGATTCAAATGGTCCTTAGGTGTCTATGTGAAGGATCTTCTTCAAGCAACCAAGAAGCAAAGAATACTGTCTTGGGAAGCTTCACAGAAAACTTAAACATGTAACTGCTGCCAAAACTCCCAGGCTCAGCTATCTTCTTGGTGTAGCCCAATCAATCAGCTTCGTGTTTTGCATTTTTCACTTAACACACTCACCAACCGATGTTTACATGTTCCAGCAATAATAAGTCCATCTGCATGTAGCATGCTCATTAAAATGGTTAATTATTGTTGGAAGTGAAGAAGCCTCCACACTGCAATACAGAGCAATTGGGGACAGAAGGAACCCTGTGGGGCAGTCCTGCTGTCTTGTTTCCGACCTCTATGTTCTAGATCTATGTAACTCAAAGTGTGTTGCTTCCTGCCTGCATGGAGGTCACTTTTCTCTCCTTTCCAAAAGTCTTTAGTGCTTTTGTTTGAGAAGGGAACAGCATGAGGCTTCTCTATCTCAAGAAGCTTTACAAACAGACATGAGTTAGCATTAGGGACTCTTCTATCAGTTAGAAAACTTCCTTTTGTCCATCACTCTTGCTTCTGAGATTACTTAAAATGATAAGAGTAAGTCAACACCCTTTTTTGAACCTTATCAGAGTGTATTTTCACTCCTGTTTCCTATTGTAAGCTCATATATAACACTGTCAAAATTGCACTCTGCTATAGCTATAGCTGGAGCACCCAGTGGCACAGTGGGTTAAACCGCTGAGATGCTGAACTTGCAGACCGAAAGGTTGCAGGTTCAAATCTGGGGAGTGGCATGAGCTCCCACTGTTAGCCCCAGCTTCTGCCAACCTAGCAGTTCATAGAATCATAGAATCAAAGAGTTGGAAGAGACCTCATGGGCCATCCAGTCCAACCCCCTGCCAAGAAGCAGGAATATTACATTCAAATCACCCCTGACAGATGGCCATCCAGCCTCTGTTTAAAAGCTTCCAAAGAAGGAGCCTCCACCACACTCTGGGGCAGAGAGTTCCACTGCTGAACGGCTCTCACAGTCAGGAAGTTCCTCATGTTCAGATGGAATCTTCTTTCTTGTAGTTTGAACCCATTGTTCCGCGTCCTAGTCTCCAGGGAAGCAGAAAACAAGCTTGCTCCCTCCTCCCTGTGGCTTCCTCTCACATATTTATCCATGGCCCTCATCATATCTCCTCTCAGCCTTCTCTTCTTCAGGCTAAATATGACCAGCTCCTTAAGCCGCTCCTCATAGGGCTTGTTCTCCAGACCCTTGATCATTTTAGTCGCCCTCCTCTGGACACATTCCGGCTTGTCATTATCTCTTGAATTGTGGTGCCCAGAACTGGACACAATATCCCAGGTGTCGTGTAACCAAAGCGGAATAGAGGGGTAGCATTACTTCCCTAGATCTAGACACTATGCTCCTCTTGATGCAGGCTAAAATCCCATTGGCTTTTTTTGCCACCACATCACATTGTTGGCTCATGTTTAACTTGTTGTCCACGAGGACTCCAAGATCTTTTTCACACGTACTGCTCTCGAGCCAGGCATTGTCCCCCATGTTCAAAAACATGCAAATGTGAGTAGATCAATAAGAACCACTCCAGCGGGAAGGTAACGGCGCTTTATGCAGTCATGCCGGCCACATGACCTTGAAGGTGTCTATGGACAACGCCAGCTCTTTGGCTTAGAAATGGAGATGAGCACCAACACCCAGAGTCGGACACGACTGGATTTTTTTAAAAAAGTATTTTTATTATTTTATCATAGTTCAATACATTCGTTATACATTGTTTATTTTATAGAAGTTACATATTATTCAATACAATCTACTATACTTTAACTTTTGGCATCTACTGTTATTTTTCTGCTTATACATATTATCTATCCCTCACCACTGTGCTTCCCCCTCCCAAGCCACAGCTTTTACATATCATCTGTCCAAAATTTCAATTCTTCTTCTGGAGGTAACTTTCCTTCATTTTTTAAAAAAATATTTTTCAATATTTTTTCTCCATACATCATCAAAATCACTTTGTTTCCATATACCTCTTTTAATATACATGTCAGCTTATCATTTATTGCCAATTTCCATACTTCCTTGTACTACTCCTCTATTTGTATATTTATTTCTCTTCTCCAATTCCTTGCTATAAGCAGTCTTGCTATTGTTAATAAGTTTGTTACTGCATCTTTATCCTCTTTTTTTTCCATTGTTTGTTATATAATGATAATAAAGCTATACTAGAACTTCTTTCTATTTTAATGTTCATTATTATTATTATTATTATTATTATTAACTTTATTTGTACCCTGCTTTATTTGTATCTCCCGAAGGACTCGGTGCGGCTTACAAAGGCCAAGGCCCTCAATAAAGCAACAGCATAACAAATACAACAATAAAAACTCAAAAAAGCAAACCAATAAACAGTAAAGCAATAAATAGTAAACAGTAAACATTAAACAATAACACATTTAAAAACAAAGGGCCGGGCCAAATGCAATGAATAAAATTAAAAGTACTGGACATGACAGGTGAAATGTAAGGATTTTAGGGGTAGGTGCGATGTGCAGACAATCTTAAATCTCTGGTAAAGTGCATTTGGGACATGATGCTGGGAGTTTCCTATTCTGGAAAGGCACACTGGAACAGCCAGGTCTTCAAGCTCTTCCTAAAGACTGCCAACGTTGGGGCTTGTCTGATGTCCTTGGGGAGAGAGCTCCAGAGTCGGGGGGCTACCACAGAGAAGGCCCTGTCCCACGTCCCCAAATGCGCTTGTGGCACAGGTGGTATTGTGAGCAGGCCCTCTACAGATGAACGGAGGGATCATGTGGGTTCATATACGGAGATGTGGTCACGCAGGTAGGCGGGTCCCAAACCGTTTAGGGCTTTGTAGGTGAGCACCTGCACCTTGAATTGGGACCGGAAAATTATGTCTTCTATTTCTCTAAATACTTTCCCCCTAAATTTATGTACATATTTACATTGCCACCACATATGTATATATGTTCCTGATTCTTGGCATCCCCTCCAGCAATTTTTGAGTAGTTTTTATTTATATATTGTCAAAGGCTTTCATGGCCGGAATCACTGGGTTGTTGTAGGTTTTTTCGAGCTATATGGCCATGTTCTAGAGCTGCGGTTCTCAACCTTCCTAATGCTGTGACCCCTTAATACAGTCCTCATGTTGTGGTGACCCCCCAACCATAAAATTGTTTTTCTTGCTACTTCATAACTGTAATTTTGCTACCGTTATGAATCATAATGTATATATCAGATACGCAGGATGGATTTTCATTCACTGGACCAAATTTGGCACAAATACCCAATACCCCCAAATCTGAATGCTGGTGGGGTTGCTGGGGGGATTGATTTTGCCATTTGGGAGTTGTAGTTGCTGGGATTTATAGTTCACCTACAAGCAAAGAGCATTCTGAACTCCAATGATGGAATTGAACCAAACTTGGCACACAGAACTCTCATGAACAACAGAAAATACTGGAAGGGTTTAGTGGGCATTGACCTTGAGTTTGGGAGTTGTAGTTCACCTATATCTGGAGAGCACTGTGGACTCAAACAATGATGGACCAAACTTGGCACAAATACTGAATATGACCAAATATGAACACTGGTGGACTTTGGGTAAAATAAAGCTTGACATTTGGGAGTTGTAGGTTGTGAGATTTATAGTTACCTACAGTCAAAGAGCATTCTGAACCTTACAATGGGTCTGCACCAAACTTGGCACACTACTTACATGGCCAGCATTGAATACTGGTGGGTTGAGGGGTGCTGTTTTTGAATTCTGAGAGTTCTAGTTCACCAACACCAGAAAGGGAGAGAAGGACAGGCGCAGAGATCTTCAACTTTCTCGGCCAAAAGGGTTCCTAAGACTATCAGAAATATGTATTTTCTGATGGTCTTTGATGACCCCTCTGAAACCCCTTTTGCGACCACCCCAGTGGTCCCGACCCCCAGGTTGAGAAACACTGTTCTAGAGGCATTCTCTCCTGACGTTTCGCCTGCATCTATGGCAAGCATCCTCAGAGGTTGTGAGGTCTATTTGCTATTATTACTGGTGTTAGGTACCATTTCCATATTCACTTATAGTAATTTTCTTTAACCCGTATTGATAAATGTTTTAGACGTCTTTGTCTCCATAATTGTGGCCAGTCTGGACTTAATGTCAGGAGAAAAACTTTACCTGTTATAGCTACCAAATATTCCTACAATCATTGCCTCTCCGGTGCTGTCTTTTACTGTCTTTCAGGTCGATCACCCGTGCGTACTACAGGAACTCGGTTGGCGGTTTGCTCCTCTTTGACATTACGAACCGCCGGTCCTTCCAGAACGTCCATGAGTGGCTAGAGGAGACCAAGGCCCACGTCCAGCCCTACCAGATCGTCTTTGTCCTAGTTGGCCACAAGTGCGACCTCGACACCCAGCGGCAGGTCACACGGCACGAGGCCGAGAAACTGGCGCTGGCCTATGGCATGAAGTACATAGAGACCTCCGCCCGGGACGCCATTAACGTGGAGAAGGCCTTCACCGACCTGACACGGGACATTTACGAGCTGGTGAAACGGGGAGAGATCACCATCCAGGAGGGCTGGGAAGGGGTCAAGAGCGGCTTCGTGCCCAACGTAGTGCACTCCTCGGAAGAGGTGGTGAAGTCAGATCGGAGGTGTCTCTGCTAATGGCGCGAGCCCAAGCCGAGAGAAGTAAGGCTGGACTTTACTAACCCCAAACGTACCTTCCTAGACGAACATGGGATGATGGAGGGATTCATACCAAGTATATGGTGGTGGTGGTGGTATTAGTAGGGCTGGCACCAATCCCCAGTGCTCTTACCCTCAGAAGAATAAAACCACGGGGGATCCGTAAGCCCCATTTGTAGGAACGAACCCAGATGCATGCTATATATTGTAGGAAAGGGGGCAGAGTAAGGCAGCAAAGGTCCCGGGGAGTAGTAAATACCGGATTTTACACACCGTTTTAAGCAAATCTTCCCTTGAGTGATTTATTTGGAAACTATTGTCAGACTAGCCTATGAGTAAGACGCAGAATTAGAAGAGGAGGAATACTAAGACTGTGAAAATTTAACTTCTATTATTATATTTTAAGGAAGATTAAAACATAACATGTTGATCTTTGATTTATGCTACCTTGATGGTTACTAACTACCAAAAGGAAAACATGAATACTGAAAGAATTAGGTTAGCTATCTAAACCCAATTAAAAGGGAAAATATTGGTTATCAAAACATAACCCAATAAATAATAATGATTTTACTATTACTTATTTATATCCCGCTTTTCCCTCAAAGCAGCTCAGATAAAATACAGAGTTTTCGTAACCACTCAAGCCCATTTTGAAGGCTTCTGTTACCAGGAATTTGATGGATCCGTGGTTGTTTCTCAACTAGAAATTCCACCAATTTCTAATTTTACTGTAAAGGCTCTGGGAAAATTCTCAGTCGTTGAAGTGTTAATTCAGCAACCTGGAGGCAATCTTTAAAGTTGTTTTTAAACTGTTCAGCAGTGGAACTCTCTGTCCCAAAGTGTGGTGGAGGCTCCTCTTTTGGAGGCTTTGAAACAGAGGCTGAATGGCCATCTGTCGGGGGTGCTTTGAAGGCGATTTTCCTGCTCTTTGGCAGAATGGGGTTGGACTGGATGGCCCACAAGGTCTCTAGGATTCTATGATTCAGGGAAGGAAAGTGAGAGAATGCATCTCAAAAGATTTTCATCATGAGTGACAATTTTAACAAGTTTGGGAGAGTCATTCGAAGGCAAAGCAATAGACTGGGTTTGTTCTTTGTATATTTCACTGCAACCTGCAGAACACATTGAAGGAAAGCTGTAGAAAAGTTGGGTAGAGGAACAAGGAAGAATGGCCATACAGCCCGAAAAACCTACAACAATCCAAGAATGTTGTTGTTTTGAAAGTAGGATTAGATATGAGATGGATCTGGGCAGCTTTAATGTTTACCGGTGTAGAGCATCATGTGGTTGGGTTGTTTGGAGCACAAAAGCCATGTGTTTGAAGCAAGGTTGAATTCCTGGGACGAAAATTACACTTCCGAGGCCTTGTTTTTGGAATGAGTCCACTTTAGATCCTTCCATCCTCATGGGGATGAAACCAAATGGACCAAGTTTGAGATGCAGAATCAGGAAAGGGCTTCTTTGTGTGGCACCAGATATCTAAACAAGATCAGTCTGTGCACCTTCAGATATACATCCACACTTTGCTTCGTTTTCTTAAAACAGTCATGACATAATTATACAACATCCATTTTCACAGGAGAGTTTGGATTTGGGATAAAATGCTCTTTCAGATTCTAGAGACGGGCTCAAATGCACGTCGACATCAAGGGAAAGGGCAGTGCTAGTTATTTTTATTTATGCAAGTTAATCCAATAGCTGATTTTGCAGTTTACTTATCTGCTGTCTACCAAAACCATAACTATTTTTTAAAATGCATATGCCAGATATAGCTTGGGTTTCGATTGACTTACAATGAATGGCAAATGCAGTGGAAGTATAACATGAGCATATTTCAGTTGTGCCGAAAATAAAACTAGGGCCTCGTAGCCAAGGAAAATCAGAATTCATCTCAATTTTCTACCAGAGTCTTGTAGCCAACCAATTTAAAGATGTGTTGTTTCATGGCCAGAATCACTAGGTTGCTGTGAGTTTTCCGAGCTGTATGGCCATATTCCAGAAGCATTCTCTCCTGACGTTTCACCCACATCTATGGCAGGCATCCTCAGAGGTTGTGAGGTCTGTTGGAAACAGGCATATGAGGTTTATATATCTGAGGAATGTACAGGGTGGGAGAGAGAACTCTTGTCTTTTGGAGGCAATTGTGAATGTTGCAATTGGCCACCTTGATTAGCATTTAATTTTTTTTCATGTTAGGAACGACTTGAGAAACTGCAAGTCGCTTCTGGTGCGAGAGAATTGGCCATCTGAAAGGACGTTGCCTGGGACACCCGGATGTTTTGATGTTTTACCATCCTTGTGGGAGGCTTCTCTAAAGTCCCCACATGGGGAGCTGGTGCTGACAGAGGGAGCTCATCCACAGTCCCCAGATTCGAATGTCCGACCTTTTGGTCTTCGGTCCTGCCAGAACAAGGGTTTAACCAGGGGCTCGGCATTTAATGGCCTTGTGGCGTCAATGCTTGGCTGGTTGCTGCCTGGGGATCCTTTGTTGGAAGGTGTTAGGTGGCCCTGATTGATTCCTTGCAGCTTTGAAGCTGCAAGGCCATTCAATGCTAATTAAGGTGGACAACATTCACACTTGCCTCCAACAGATAAGAGTTCTTTCTCCCAATTTTGGCATTCCACAGATATATAAACTCAACTTGCCTAGCTTCCAACAGACCTCACAACCTCTGAGGATGCCTGCCATAGATGGGGGTGAAACATCAGGAGAGAATGCTTCTGGAACATGGCCATACAGCCTGGAAAACTTACAGCAACCCATTGTGAAGATATTGGAGTCGGAAGGAGATTGTTGCCATTTTTAAATAGCTATTTCCACCTGGTGTTTGAAGAGCGTGATAACTCAAACATCACCTTTGATCCTGGCTGGATGTGTGATTGTGGTTTTGGAAAGACCAAAACTGTCAGTGTAGGTTCCTTGTCTGTGCCTCAACATACTGCTCCACGTACTCTTTAAATGTTGTACAACATATCAGTCCAAATTCAATGAAAACTGGAGTGAAGAATCTGGGAATCCTCCGACATACCATTCCTCCTCTTGGGTTTCCCAACATTTGTATATTTTTCACCATTATAAAAATATATTATGCCTTCCTTAAGATCTTTCTTAGTTATGGTCAGAGTTTGGATCCCATCCTTTTGGCCTTTGGTGCCAATGAGCACTAGAATGTAACCTATCTATCTATCTATCTATCTATCTATCTATCTATCAAATGTTTGTTTGTGTGATCAAAATAACTAAAAAACCACTGGGCGAATTGACACCAAATTTGGACACAATACACCTATCGGGCCAACGAGTGACCATCACTCATAAAAAAATGAAAATCAGGTCAACGAGTGCCCATCACTCATAAAAAAAACACAGCAGAAGAGACTTTAAAATCCAAAAAATAAAAAATACATTACAAGGCATACTCAAAGCAACATATTTACACATATACATAAATATATACACACATATACATATACACAGACTGGGCCACAGCAACACATGGCAGGGGATGGCTAGTGTATGTGTGTGCTGTGTGTGTATATATATGTGTGTGTGTTTGTGGATTGCAATCCATACACACACACACTCATGTGTATATGTGTGTGTGTATGGATTGCATTCTAGTGCTCATTCTAGAGCCCTTTTGGCCTTTGGTGCCAATGAGCACTAGAGTGTAATCCATATCTACAGCTCTCTCTCTCTCTCTCTCTCTCTCTCTCTCTCTCTCTATATATATATATATATATATATACACACACACGCACATACATACACACACACACACGGATGAATTGCATTCTAGTGCTCGTTGGCACCAAAGGCCAAAAGGATGAGATCCAAACTCTGACCATGACTAAGTTAGATCTTAGGGGAGGATAACACACACACATATGGATGGATGGATGGATGGAATTCTAGTGCTCATTGACACCAAAGGCCAAAAGGATGAGATCCAAACTCTGTGACTAAGTTAGATCTTAGGGGAGGATATATATATATATACACACACACACACACACATATGGATGGATGGATGGATGGAATTCTAGTGCTCATTGACACCAAAGGCCAAAAGGATGAGATCCAAACTCTGTGACTAAGTTAGATCTTAGGGGAGGATATATATATATATACACACACACACACACACACACATATGGATGGATGGATGGATGGATGGATGGATGGATGGAATTCTAGTGCTCATTGACACCAAAGGCCAAAAGGATGAGATCCAAACTCTGTGACTAAGTTAGATCTTAGGGGAGGATACACGCACACACACACACGATACATTGAATTTAACTCTTGAGTGAAAAGGATTACCTGAATCTGAATTAAATGGCCAAGAGAGCAATTGTTCACCAATCAGATAACGCTGTAATTTCCTTCACGATTTGGCCCATTCTCATTTGAGTTTAGGCCACAATGTTGAAGGCAACTTGCCATCAGGTATCTGAAGGCGAGGGCAAGGAAACCCTCTTTAATGGAAAATACAGACTCAGGCTTGGGATCTCCTGCAAGTATGCCAGCCATTTCTCTTTCTAATTAAAAGTAGGTCCAAGTGTGATCTTGGGAGCTATTCCTATGAATTGTTTAGGACGACAACTGGAATTTTTCCTTTCCTTAAGCACATCAGTAGTGCACATATCTCAATTACATCCTCTTCAGGGAGGGATTAAAAATCTTCCATAGTTCCCATTTCAGTCATTTTCCTTCTGTGTTAGGGGTAAGTTTTTTTTTTTCAATGTCAGGAGCGACTTGAGAAATTGCAAGTTGCTTCAAAATTGGCCGTCTGCAAGGACATTGCCCAGGGGACACCCGGATGTTTTACCATCCTGGGTGAGGATTCTCTCAAGTCCCCACATGGGAAGCTGGAGCTGACAGATGGGAGCTCACCCCACTCCCCGGATTTGAACCGCTGACCTTTCGGTCAGCAGTCCTGCCAGCACAAGGGTTTAACCCATTGCACCACCGGGGGTAGTAGGAAATCTGAATTTATCCATTATTTCCAATGTAAACATTTCAAATAATGTATTAAGGCCTGAATCCAATTGGTAGTCAACTAGAGAAGGCCCACTGAAGATCGATTGCCTTGTGGCACATCCTCACTTATGGAAATCCTATTGATCCACTCTTCTCAAGTCCAGGTTTAGCAGCTGGACTTAAGCCTAGAAGAAAATGTGTGCTTCTGGAGAAGGTAATGATCCTTCCATACACACCTGAAAACATTCGCCAAGCACTTACTTGGCTTTTCCAAATTCCAAAATGGATTGAGACCTTTTAGGAGATTTGTTCTGTCCTTTGATCAACGCTTTGGCAAAAACATTCAATGTGAAGGATTCCAGGACATTTTACATCACATTACATATTCATTCCTCTGTTCTCTATTATCTTCTTTTTACTGCAAGTATAGTTCGGAATGACATCCTGTGTCAGACGATAAAACCAAATAGGAACGTTTGCTTGTATCTGGAGCCTTTTAATTTGTAGCGTATAATGCGTTGCAATTAGAACAGGAAGTACAATATATAGGAGACATAACATTCTTAGAAGTCAATCTAGAGCAGTGTTTCTCAACCTTCCTAATGCTGTGACCCCTTAATACAGTTCCTCATGTTGTGGTGACCCCCAACCATAACATTGTTGTAGTTGCTGCTTCATAACTGTAATTTTGCTACTGTTATGAATTGTAATGTAAATGCAGTGAATACATTTTCATTTACTGGACCACGAATACCTGATGTGCCCAAATTTGAATATTGGTGAGGTTGGGAGGATTGATTTTGTCATTTGGAAGTTGTAGTTGCTGGGATTTATAGTTTACTTACAATCAAGGAGCACGCTGAACTCCACCCATTATGGAATTGAACCAAACTTGGCACACAGAACTCCCATGATCAAGAGAAAATCCTGGAAGGGTTTGGTGGGTATTGACCTTGAGTTTTGGAGTTTGTAGTTCACCTACATCCAGAGGGCACGGTGCACTCAAACAATGATGGATCTGAACCAAACTTGGAACAAATACTCAATATGCCAGTGGGGGGGGGGGGGGGGGGATTGAGGGGCTTCAGCCCCCCCCCCCCGAAATTCTCATGGTGGTTCGAAAAAGCCTTACTGGTGCATTATTTAAACTGTTATGTTTATTATATCATGATCTGATCACCATAATCAATATATCCATATGCATGGGGGTATTGGGGTAATAATACAAAAGGTTTGCTAGGGTAGACCCTCTTTCACTCAGACTCAGCCCCCCCCCCCCCCCCCCCCCCCCCCCCCCCCCCCCCCCGAATCGAAATCCTGGCTACGGGCCTGTGCCCAAATATGAATTTAGGCAAAATAGACATTGACATTTGCGAGTTGTAGTTGCTGGGATTTATAGTTCACCTACAACCAAAGCGCATTCTGAACCCAACCAATTTTAGAATTGGGCCAAATTTCCTACACAGAACCCCCATGACCAACAGAAAATAGTGTTTTCCGGTGGTCTTTGGTAACCTCTCTGACACCCCCTCATGATCCCCAGGTTGAGAAACGCTGATCTAGAGGCCTAAATCTAATTTCTAGTCCTAGCTACTACAAACCCACTCAGTCCGCTGCTAAATGGTTAATTAAGACTTAGGTCAATCCTATTTATTTCAATGGGTTTATTACAGATGGGATTAACAATTGGATATAGGCCATAATTCTGATGAAACCTGGTGATGTATTCTTTTTTTATATTGCCTTATATTTTTAGGCAGCTTATATATAAAAGACAAGAGGGAAAATCCTTCTGTACAAAAACTTTGTAAGATGAAAGCCTCATTTTCGTAACTGGCTTTAGCGTTTTGACTACTGCAAGCTGAAAGGTGAGGCTGGCTGTAAAATAAAGGAAGCTTCTTTCTTTGCTTTGGTTGCTTTCTGGAAGAAACAAAACAAAACCGGACAAGACACAAATCCCACAACCGCAGCCTGCATGTTGGATTCAAAGTTCCTCAAACTCCAGGTTTTAAAAACGAAAAGACATTCTATTGTACACTTATTTCCTAGCTTTCTGTTGTATGCACTGTAATGAAAATGTGACAATAATATGCTGTTTTTAGCTGTGCGTGAATGAAAAAAAATTATGCTTGTATCTAGCAAAAATGGTTATCCTGTGACATTCAATACTTGTAAAGAGGGGGAAAATATCCTCTATTTTTTTTGTTAATTTCTTCCTCTTGCCTTTTTTTTATCAAGCCATTTAGTAGCTCTGTATCCAGCAAACTTAAGACAGAGTCGGGTAAATAATAAACATACACACTGTTTATAATGGTATCCACTGGTGTTTTTAACTTTGTGCAGAAATCTGCTTTTGTCTGTGTTTCAACATGTTTTTGTGCAAAAGGAGCCAACATAGTAAATATTCCAATATGGCTGCCAAGGTAATCCCTTACAAAGTATGGAATGATGTATTGTTGAAGGTTTTCATGGCCAGAATCACTGGGTTGTTGTGTGTTTTCCGGGCTGTATGGCCATGTTCCAGAAGCATTCTCTCCTGATGTTTTGCCTGCATCTATGGCAGGCATCTTCAGAGGTTGTGAGATCTGTTGGAAACTAGGAAAATCAGGTTTATTTATCCGTGGAATGATGTCCTGGGTGGGAGAAAAAAAGTCTTGTCTGATCTCAATTTTCGATAAGAGTTTCAAACTGAGTAGATGCAGGGAAAGCTGTGGATGGAGAGTATCTGGATCTCAGGAAGACCTTCCTTCCTTCGACAAGGTCCCTCATGACCATCTGGCAAACAAACTAGTCCAATATGGAATAAGCAAAACTATGGATCTGTAATTGGTTAAGTGAATGAACCCAACAGGTGCTCACCAATGCTTCCTCTTCATCCTAGAAAGAAGTGATGAGTGGAGAGCTGTAGGGTTCCGTCCTGGGACCAATTCTGTTCAACATCTTTATTAATGACTTAGATGAAGGGTTGGCAGCATGATAATTAAGTTTGCAGAAAACACCCACATTGGGAGGGATAGCCAATACTCCAGAAGACAGGAGCAGAATTCAAAATGATCTTCACAGATTAGAGAGACGTGTCCAAACTACCAAAGGAAGTTCAATAGGAACAAATGCAAGATACTTCACTCTGCCTTGGTCAGACCACACCTGGAATCACACTGTGTCCAATTATGGGCACCGCAACTGAAGGGAGATGTTGACAAGCTGAATGGTGTCCAGAGGAGGCAGACTAAAACAATCAAGGGTCTGGAGAACAAGCACTGTAAGGAGCAGCTTAAAGAGCTGGGCATGTTTAGCCTGCAGAAGAGAAGGCTAAGAGGAGACATGATGAGGACAGTGTATAAATATGTGAGGGGAAGTCATAGGGAGGAGGGAGCAAGCTTGTTTTCTGCTGCCCTGGAGACTAGTACGCGGACTGGCTTCAAATTACAGGAAAGGAGATTCCACCCGAGCATTAGGAAGAACTTCCTGTTAGAGCTGTTCAGCAGTGGAACTCTCTGTGCCAGAACGTGGTGGAGGCTCCGCCTTTGGAGGTTTTTAAACGGAGGCTGGATGGCCATCTGTCGGGGTGCTATGAATGAGATTTTCCTCCTTCTTAGCAGAGGGTTGGACAGGGTGGCCCAAGAGATCTCTTCCAACTTTATGGTTCAAACATTCCAGTGGCAGGTGAGACCAAAGGGAAGAGAGCTAAATACTAATATATTTTAGTTTAAATGGTTGTCCCTGTTATGAAGATTCATTGTACAATATTTCAACCTTGAAGGATGAGGATAAACCTATACAAATGTGGTGACAGGGATTCTGGGAAATATGTGCCATCTAGATCACATGCGTCCAACAAGGCCCTGCGTTGTCGTTTAGTGTTTACCCAAACTAGAGAACTGACCACTAGGAGAAAAAAACTTTATAGTTGGATCTGTGTGTCCACGTATTCTCAGTCCATGGATTCCATGGTCCTTAGAAGGCAACCATAAGGCTGACATAGCCTTTGATGAAAGTGAGTTTGAACCCCTGATCTACAATATAAGTTTGGGTACAGGGGTATGTTTTATTGTTCTTTTACTTCAGTGGTTGCCAATCTTTTTTTAACAAGGGGCTACTTTAGCAACACTGCCATGCTGCTGGACCACCCTCAGTCCCATGTCGCGCAGGCGCTTCAGCCCTACTTTGAAATGACTCACTGGCGCGAGCCTCCTTCCAGCCTTGCACACTCTCCCTCGCCCATGCATGTGTACCACACTGTCATGCGCTGAGCACACCTGCTCTCCTCTCCCTGTTTGGAGTCTCAGAAACAGCCCTCCCCTTGGCTGAGAGGCCAGCCAATCACAGAAGGAGGGGGGCTTTTGGTGGGAGAATTCGCTGTCTGTTTTCAAAAAGGAAGAGAAAGATAGGCAGAGAGATCTGCATATTCTAACAGTTTTTGGCAACCCTTCTGGAACACTCTCCAACATCAGTACAAATCAGTTTTTGGGTCAACTTTAGATTCGGTTTGTTTATTTGGGGTGTCGATTCAGAAAATTGCATTGGATAGACCACATCAGTTCTAGTTTCTGATACAGAAATATGTCATCCAGTAGTCGCCATCTGCTTGCCCACAGAAAACCCTATTTAATAAGCCGTGGCGCTATAAGAGGTTTCACGAGACCAGTCGCTCTCGTTGCAATGTTATAGTAACAGTGACACCACGGACCATATTTTAGTTCTTGTCGACCACTGGTGGTCCATGGATCACAGGTTGGGAACCACTGTTTTACTTGAATCTGTTTATTAAAGCAGAGTTTCTCAAATTGTGCTCCTCCAGATGTTTTGGACTTCAGCTTCCACAATACTCAACAGCTGGTAAGCTGGCTAGGATTTCTGGGAGCTGAAGTCCAAAAAGCAGTTTGAGAAACACTGGTTTAAAGGGTCAATTATATTTAGTTACACAGCAGAAATGCTAAGAAACTCCATTTATGAATTGTGAAGATGCCTCTTGCTACCCAATTGTTGTTCTTGCAGAAGAAATAAGCCCTGGATTTTGGCTATTATTTATTTTTCTTTAAATACCCTTTGACAAGAACACATACTTTGGCATTTTAGGAGTATCAATATCATCTTCCATCGCACTGAAAAATACAAGAAATGTGTGACAGCTTTAGATGTCCTGTTGCTGAAAAGAAAGAGGCACAAGAGGTTTCTGCCAGAAGCATTTCAAGTTTCACTGTCTTTAATATAATGAAATAAAAGTACAAAAAACTTTACAGGAATTATTTGTGACATGAAACTAGAACACAGTTAACATTTGCTTTTAATTCCGAAGTGAACCTTGCCTTGCCAGCAATGCTGCTAATTTTGGCCGTAAGGTGTGCAGCGCCGTTTCAAAAAATAAACAGAAATCGAGAGGTGTCAAGGTAACACTTTTGCAAAGCTTCATAATAAGTAACATGGGAATAAGGTTCCACTTGTTAGCAATGGGAGCAAGGCTCAAATACACCATCCGTGTTTAATTGCAGGTTTCACAGAGTGACTTTGCAAGCATTAAGACATCCGAACGAGACAGAAAGGACGGCAAGTGTGTTGACCAAATGCAGCAGGGGATCGGTATCCAAACACTCCCCAATTTCAGACAAATAAACAAGAAGTTATGGTAACACAGGACTGAGAGAGACCATATACAGGTCTCAGTTGTTTTTTTCCAACGGTTTCATCCTTTTTTTCATAGGCTGCCATGTTTGTGTGAGGTACCTAAAGCTACACTGAGAATGGAATTGGGAATTGTTTGAACAGCAATGCCAAAAGGGCAGGAGTGCAATGGACACAAACTTCTTCATTCTACTAACAGATTATACTTTCTGGCCAAGAAGATAAAGCAACCCCTGCTGAAATGTCCTAGTCTCAAAAGTCCAAAATGCACCTTACCTTTTCAGACAAACCCTCTGGTAAGGTTCTCCCTGTTGCAGATTTGTTTCTAAGGCCGATAAAGCCGAATCCCTTGGGCCTCCTTTCCCCAACCGGCCATAATTTCATGTCGCATGCATGGAACTGAATACAGCTTGCAAATAAATAAGGAGCAGCTCATCATTATTTTAGGTGTTTATGTTCTCAACGAAAGCAATTAAATTAAACAGTCTGTTGAAAGATGAACCAGAAAGGGGCCATTTTAAAAATAAAAAAATACTTTGAAAATCAGAGCTGTTTTTTAAAACTGGCAGAACTACGCTTTGCTTTTGGATGGGTCGTCCTTGTTCCTTCGCTTTACATCCCAATTATAAACCCTAGCCATATCTGGAAGTATGGTTAAGGAAGACATTGTTCTATGTACAGTGAAAATACCAGCTTCTATACTTGTGTTATTTCACCCATTTCAAAGAGTTAACACAACAAGTTTGCTTTGTGAATATTTCACATTGTTGTTTTCATACCCAGCATTTGTACAGAGGAAGGGTGAATGCGGTGGAAATTTGTAGTGAGCAACTCTATGCCATGCCAGCAGAAATGGCAGCCCAAAGACAAGGTTTAAAGCAGTGGTTCTTAACCTTCCTAATGCAGAGACCCCTTAATACAGTTCCTCATGTTGTGGTGACGCCCGACCATAATTTTTTTTGTTGCTACTTCATAATTGTAATTTTGCTACTGTTATGAATCATAATGTAAATATCTGATATGCAGAATTATTTTCATTCACTGGATGAAATTTGGCACAAAAACCCGATATGCCCAAATTTGAATATTGGTGAGGTTGAGAGGGATTGATTGTGTCATTTGTGAGTTGCAGTTGCTGGGATTTATAGTTAACCTACAATTAAAGAGTCCCTTGAACGCTACCAACGATAGAATTTGGCCAAACTTCCCACACAGAAATCCCAAGACCAACAGAAAATAATGGAGGGATTTGGGAGGAATTGACAGTGATTCAGGGGAGATGTAGTTCACCTACACCCAGAGAGCATTGTGAAACCAAACAATGATGGGATGCTGCTGGACCACTCTCAGTCCCATGTCATGCGGGCACTTTCTGCCCTGCTTTGAATGGACTTTCTGGCGCAAGCCTCCTTCCAGCCTTGCACACTCTCCCTCGCCCATGCATGTGTACCACACTGTCAACCTGCTCTCCCCTCCCTGTTTGGAGTCTCAGAAACAGCCCTCGCCTTGGCTGAGAGGCCAACCAATCACAGAAGGGGGGGGGGGCTTTTGATGGGAGGATTTGCCGTCTTTTTTCCAAAAAGGAAGAGAAGCAGGCAGAGAAATCTGTCTTTTCTGATGATCTTTGGCAACCCCTCTGAAACCCCTCATGACCTCCCCAGTGGTCCCAACACCTAGGTTGAGATACACTGGTTTAAAAGTTTATCAGCAGGGGAGCTCAGGCATTAAAGCCTTCATTTTCTCCAACAGCTGAAACAATATTAACCTTCTCGACAAACGGTTCTCTTTCTCAATGGTATCAGCAAACAGATTAGCACAAGGGATGAGCAAAGCTATATACAACACAATGGTTTGATCTAGATTGTTAAAAGGATACTGACTTCTGTAGTAGTGAATTGATCCCTAAGAAAATCCAGGTCTTCCTCTAGAGACTCCAGGTTTCTTGTGGCTGTGGAGAGATTCTTTTCTAGCAATGCCTGGGCCTCATCTATATCGTACTCCAACATTACATTGGCCTAAGAACCAAATTTAAATGGGATAAGTTTTTTTAATAGTTTCAAACTTATAAAGCAAAACGAAAAGCATCTCTAAAGTGCCCAGTCTGGTTCTGATTTTCACCCAGATTTTTGTTAAAATGTAAAAGATAAATATCCATTGATATTTTGAGACCACAACAATAGTTTTCCCTTTTCTAGAACTGCCACAAACAGGATAGAGTTCAGAGCAAAGTGTCCAGCAATTATCCTGTTTCCATCTGATCCTAGCTAGCATTTCATCACTTGTTTTCTTGTGACATTCCAACTGATCAGAAATTACACAAGAGCAGGTGCGAACAAAAACATCACATAACATTGTAACAACATAAAACAATATGGCTCAAATCAAATTATCCACTACAGCTCTGAACCAAACTGTATGTTTTTTTTCCATTTCTGGTATCAACCATATCCATGCTGGCAAACTATATTTTCCAAACCATATGTGGAAGTTATGAATTAACGTGAGTCCCAATGCCAATTCAGAAGTCAGGCACAGTTGGTAATTCTGATTTCAAATTGGTCAAAACTACACAAGAAATTAAATGAAACGGAAGGAACAGGGAGCACATGGGTCCCTTTCAATTACCCAACTGAGCTATAGTTTGGAGAAAAATGTTTATCCATTCAAAATCTTTGCAAAACTTGTTCAGAGTCCCACCTCTATACCTCCAGGTGTTTGTCACTGACTGGAAAAAGTAATTCCAGGTCCACAGAAGACAAGCAGAAAATGCATACCTCTGATACACAAGACAGAAGAAGCCACATGGAAGTTCAACAAAGAATACACAACCACTCAGACCTCACAATTCCATCTGGCCAAACTAACGACTAGAATAAAACAAGTACCAGGATGGATGGTTTTAATTCTAGAAGTATATACTTACTCAACAATTACTTACCCCCAACCAGAGACAGACTTTGTCTGTAGGAGGTACTGAAGCTTTACAATAGAGGTTATCTGCCAATAAAAATCTGGTTTCCATTAGGTTTGTAGATTCCTTTGGAAAGGACAGAAAACATTTCAACATGGGTTATTAGTTATTAGAAATTATTACTCAGAGTTTTCTTCTCTGGGCAGATGGCAGAAGTTGCATGTAACCCAATGGATCAGGATAGTATTGGGGATAATGGATGGATCATGACCTGATAGGACTACAACCCAGCAGGGGTAGCAGAGTTTGAGAGGAGTATTCCTTGAGTTTATTTGATGCTTTAGACATAGAAAGACTCAGGCAGACTTCTTTTAAAATAACGATGTCTGTTTACTTATTACTTCTTGCATTCAATGATACAGGCACATTTCTTTTGAGGGTTAAAATACTTCAAAAAATATTAGGAGAGTTTACATCTTAAAACATATCAACTTTAACTGTTTCTTCACGAACTATGATGCTCCACACAGCTCACCTCAATAAAACTTCACTTTTAAGAAATATTGACTAGCTTCTAACAATTGACTAGCTTCTAACATTAGCTTCTGCACACTAAAAGACTTCTAGCTCCAACGGACTTTTTCGAACAAGGCTCAAAGCTCAACTGACTTCTAACAGGCTCAATGGACATTTTTAGCTGTAATTCCTTTTTAAAGCTGAACATCCTAAACCAGGGGTCCTCAAACTAAGGCCTGGGGGCCGGATACAGTCCACCAAGGTCATTTACCCAGCCCTTGGTCAGGGTCAACCTAAGTCTGAAACGACTTAAAAGCTCACAACAACAACAATCCTATCTCATCAGCCTAAACCAGGCACACACTTCCAACTGAAATACTAATAAGTTTATATTTGTTAAAATTGTTCTTCATTTTAATTATTATATTGTTTTTCAGTGTTTTTGCACTACAAATAAGATATGTGCAATGTGTATAGGAATTCATTCATGTTTTTTTTTTTTTCAAATGATAATCCGGCCCACCAACAGTTTGAGGGACTGTGACCTGGCCCTCTGTTTAAAAAGTTTGAGGACCCCTGTCCTAAACCATCCCATGATTGCAGCCCCTAACATTGCTGCAGTACAAAGATACAAGGTAACTGCAAACTAAAAACAAGACGTACACTTCGAGTTACAAAATGACATACTAATAAAATATTATTACACCACAGATAAACATTACATAGAGGAGGCCTGAGAGGTTGCATTCTCCAACAGATGGAGCCAAATTTGGAAATACAGACATACAACTACAATTAATCATCCCATACCTCACTCCCTAATCCAAAACAATTACTTTATTCAAAGGAATTAAATTACACTTAACATCCAACAGTTCCTTGGTAACAATTGCGTACTCAGAAACGAACAGTCAAAACTACTCACCTTTTTCTTTTGCATGTGCTTTAAGATTTCTAATGTCTGCTTAATTTCTGGAATCTGATTTTTTAACCTGTGATTAAAAGACAGACAAAAAAAAAGGATTCCTTTTACAAAGTTTACTAAACAATCCAGTCTGCTTTATATTTGGAAGCAAAAACAAAATAGAAGTGCTGCTATCAAGTTATTTCATTCTGGAAATAGGAATGGAGTTAACTCAGCCACAAACTCTGTGGGCAGTACTTCTGTAGGGTAATTTTCTCTTTTCTTCCCAAGCTGCATAATGATTTAGGGCAGTGTTTCTCAACCTTCCTAATGCTGCGACGCCTTAATACAGTTCATGTTGCCATAAAATTATTTTTGTTGCTACTTCATAACTGTAAGTTTGCTACTGTTATGAATCGTCATGTAAATATCTGATATGCAGGATGTATTTTCAATCACTGGACCAAATTTGGCACAAATACCCAATGCACCCAAATTTGAATACTGGTGGGGTTGGGGGGGGGGGGTTGATTTTGTAATTTGGGAGTTCTAGTTCCTGGGATTTATAGTTTACCTATAATCAAAGAGCATTCTGAACCCACCAATGATAGAATTAGGCCTAACTTCCCACACAGAACCCCCATGACTTGAAGGGACTTGCAGGTGCGAGCCTCCCTCAAGCCTCGCATGCTCTCCTTTGCCCACACATGTGCACCACACTGCCATGCACTGACCGTGCCTGCTCTCCCCTCCCTGCTTGGAGTCTCAGAAACAGCCTTCCCCTTGGCTGAGAGGCTGGCTAATAACAGAGGGCAGCTTTTGATGAGAGTATTCGCCTTTCTGTTTCCAAAAAGGAAGAGAAAGACAGGTGGAGAGGTCTTCATATATGTTTTCTGATGGTTTTTGGTGACCCCTCTGAAACCCCCTGGTGATCCCCCTGGGGGGTCCCGATCCCCAGGTTAAGAAACGCTGATTTAGGGAGTTGCAATATAAGCTTCAGAATTGTTTATTATAAAAATCACCATATAATACCCACCTCCTTTTCTTCTGGGCAAGGTTAAGTTCCATAAATTTATATTTCTGATACTGTTCATCCAACCTCTTGAGGACTACGTCTGCAGTCTCGTTTCCTGCTTGTTTCATAAAAGAGTCTACATCTTCCTTCAAGTAAAAATACAGAGTAAGTGTTAATATCTTCAAAATCTTTGGCTTATGTAGTAAACAGCCGGGACAGTTGGCGAATGCCCAGTCTGTTTTGCAGGGACAGCACCAAGTATTGGTTTGTCAAACATTGCTGATGCCCACATCTCCAGAAGAAGAAAAAAAACATCAATAAGAGACCCAATTAAGGACGGGCTTGAGAAACTACAGTACAGGCAAACAGATAGTAATGGGGATAGGAAAAAGCAGTAGCTATTTGGATAACACTCGCTGGCTAGCAAATGAGAGAGGTGTAAGAAAGATCGGTTTTTGAAGCAATGGTGTTGGAAAAATGGGGACATCTAAGGGCTCCCTAATTCCTGGAACCAGCAACCTAAAAGCAAGGCAGCAGACATGGATCCAAGGTGGGCTAAATTTCTCCTAATCTAGGAGAAAGAGGCATAAACTCACCAACTGCAAAACACCATCATGTTTACAATACACCAAGAGTACTGTAGGTGCTACGTAGACAGTGCAAGCTCACACAATAATTGGGGAGCTCTTCCTTGTCTCCCAAAGGCGGGTTTCATTAGCAAAAAGGTGAGACGGCCCAAAAAAGAGCTCATTCCTAGCACCTAATCTGGCTTGCTGAACAAGACTGGGTCTCATGAACACCAGCATTTCGCTGCCAACAGCCGACACTCACATGTCCCTGGACATCCTCAAACAAGGCAGGAAGCCAAAAGTCACACTCTTTGATCATTCTGGGCACCCAATGCTCAAAGGTAAGCTGCTTTTGAAGATTCAGCAGTTGCAGCTAATAGTTGCCGCTGGCTATTTGTCTCATCCTGTTTTAAGAAGCTTTCTCAGCTAGTGAACTGATTACTACAGACTGTAGTCTGCATGTAGAGCTGGTAAAAATCAAGTCTATTGAGCTTTGGAAATATAAATATAAATTGGGCACTCCCATCCCTTTTGCAGTTCCTTATATAGAGAATTTTGTAGAATAGCCAGCCAGATATGCCTGCAGTATTAAAAATGAATGATCCCAGCATGTAAATATACACAGAACTCTTTTGACATGACTCTAAATGGATCAACAAGTTAAATATTAGTATTTTAAAGGACTAATGTCTCCCAACATCAATGTAAAATCAATGTAAAAATGTAGGATTCCAGCAAAAATAAGGCCACGAGGGAGTAAGGGAGATGGCACACTTGAGGGGAAATTTAAAAAAATTTCTTCAAAGGATCATAGATTCTCAACAACCAGAAAATGAGGATGACAAGCAGAAACAAAAAAGAGACAGTAATAGGGATTCACACAGAATCTTTAACAGAAATACATGGAAGGAAGATACTGTACTAATTGAATGAATATCCCAAAATGAGAATTGCAAGTCTCACTTGAAATGATTTATTTGCATACCGTTGTACATCCTACTTGAATAGATCAAACATTGCTCTTCTTCCATTACCACACCAACTTCTACATTCTCATGCACAGTTCAAACAAATTACAGATATTCACATGATATATCCAGGATAGACTACTGCAACACACTCTACGTGGAGTTGCCATTGAAGACTGTTCGAAAGCTTCAATTAGTTCAATGAGAGGCAGTCAGGTTAATAACTGGGGCGGCGTACAGGGAGCACACAACTTCCGTGTTACCTTAGCTCCACTGGCTGCCTGTTTGCTACCGAGCCCAATTCAAAGTGCTGGCTTTGGCCTATAAAGCCCTAAACCACCCTGACCCAGTTTACCTGTCTGAATGCATCTTCTTTTACGAACCACCGCAAATACTAAAATATTCTGAGGAGGCCCTGCTCTTGGCCCCATCACTGTCACAGGCGCATTTGGCGGGGAGAGGGCCTTCTCAGTGAGTGCCCCACAGCTATAGAACTCCCTTTCTGGCAAGATTAGATCAGCCCCCTTCTTTCTGTCCTTCAGAAAGATGGTAAAGACCTGGATGGGACCAACCCTTTGGGACAGTGCACTGATGCAATAATAGGGAACCTACTCCGCTGACCGAAGCCAGCATGGTTTTAAACAGCTGACTTTAATGTCTGTGTATATTTATAGTAATTTTAAGCCCAGCATAGAATGTTTGCCGTGTGTATGTTGTAGTCCGCCCTGAGTCCCCCTTGGGGTGAGAAGGGCAAAATATTAATGTTTGAAATACATAAATGTATGTGTCTTCAAGTTTGTCAAATTTTGGCAATCCCATGAATTTTATATGGTTTTTTTTAGGCAAGGAATACCTACAGCAATGAATAAATATTATGAGGCAGTCTCCCATTAAAAGTTAATTTCCCATGGCTAACTTTGAAGTTCAGTTTGGTTTTCACTTGAACTAAGTGCATCCTAAGAGACAGGTTTCATTCCACAATATTCAAGGATGGTCTATTCTTGCAATTTGCCTCACTAACGTTACCAGGTCAGCTGTGCTATGAATTAACACATTTAATGCAAATGCTCATCAATTTATATAAGTAAATAAATATTATAAAATATTTCATGTCCAGCCATCTGGAAGCATTTACGGTACTTGTCATACATCTCTTGCCTTCTCCCTAAGTCTCAGGAAATTGGCACATAAAGTGTTTTTTTTTTAATTCAACTGGTCAATTTGATTACTTCAGGCTGCCCTTTTATCTTTTGATATTTGTTGCTGTTGTTGTGTGCACTCAGGTTGTTACCAACTTATGGCGACAGAAGGTAAACCTATCAGACTTAAAATCGCTCTTCACATCTAGGCAAAGGAAAGAAAGTCATACCGAAAAGCACTAACTCTGCATTAGAAACTGAAAATAAGTCTGTCTTCTTCATGGCAGGTATATGAAACTGACTTTAATCAGAGCATTAGATTTTTCTTACTCTTTGTCCTATGTTTTTTTCAATCTTGCTGAAGCATTCAGGGATTGAAACTCAGGGCTCTACAACTCAGCTATGACTCAGCCTCCACTCATTCAAACATTTTAATAAAAGGTGCTCCTTCCAGAATGAAAATTGCTGAAGCTGCCCAAGTGCTTTAAATAAAGAAATAAAACATGGAGTTTTTAGCAGACCCTCCATTACGGTCAATTACAAACAGTGCTTCGTCATGAGCTGGACCATTGCTCCAACTCTAACTAGTCATAATGACTCTCTAGGATTTTAAGCAGGATCTCTGCATTCCATGGCGGCCTCCTATTCAAATGCCAATCGCAGTCTCTCAGCTTCAAGGGAAGGCAAAGGCAAATCTCCTCTGAACAAATCTTGCCATGAAAACCCATGATAGGTTTGCCTTATGGTCACCATAATTTTGAGGCAACTTCAAGGAAAACTATTATTATATTATTATTACTATTAATATCCTGTTTTGTTCTCTTGATTGAAACTAAGTAGCACACAACATTCAAAATAATGCAATCAAAAACCTACAGCATCTAAATATTTAAATACAAGGAAGCCTACAATAATTAAAACAAGTCAAACAGCAACAAGTGGAATTAAAACTAAGCAAGTTGTCAATGTCTTGAAGGCAGTCACATTGCATTACTATAAAACCAGCATACATTAAATAAAGCTATGACCTCGGGTAGAGAAAACCTGTCATAACGTTTACTTCCTGCAAGGACATCTAGAAATGAGACTCCAAGGCAGTTACACCTTTCAAGGAGAAGAATCAGATCTCTATTATGATGAAGGGAAAAAGGGGCAAGGACCTGACTTAATAAGAAATGAAGAATAGAAGGTTTGATTAGTAAATAGCAATAAGAAATGAAGAATAGGTTTGATTAATAAATAGCCTTAGTCTTTTCATGGAGATGAAATCAATTGGAGGGTCTGCCATGAGAAAGAGGCAGGAAGACAACTCACATAGATAATAAATGAGCAATAAAAATGCTAAATGGAAGTTGCAAGGAAAGGAAGGCAGAAGTAATAAACAACTGATGGTCTTTCTTAGTTGTGTATGTGTGCGTATAGTATATATACACACACATATATACATATACATATACATGAATACACACACACACATATATTGTTGTTGTTGTTCATTCGTTCAGTCATCTCCGACTCTTCGTGACCTCATGGACCAGCCCACGCCAGAGCTCCCTGTCGGCCGTCACCACCCCCCTCCTTCAAGGTCAGTCCAGTCACTTCAAGGATGCCATCCATCCATCTTGCCCTTGGTCGGCCCCTCTTCCTTTTACCTTCCACTTTCCCCAGCATAATTGTCTTCTCTAGGCTTTCCTGTCTCCTCATGATGTGGCCAAAGTACTTCAACTTTGTCTCTAGTATCCTTCCCTCCAGTGAGCAGTCGGGCTTTATTTCCTGGAGGATGGACTGGTTGGATCTTCTCGCAGTCCAAGGTACTCTCAGAACTTTCCTCCAACACCACAGCTCAAAAGCATCTATCTTCCTTTGCTCAGCCTTCCCTAAGGTCCAGCTCTCACATCCGTAGGTTACTACAGGGAATACCATGGCTTTGACTATGTGGATCACACATATATATAGGATATATATGTATATATATCCTTTATTTGTACCCCGCCACCATCTCCCTGAAGGGACTCGGAGCAGTGCACAAAAAGTACCCAATAGTACACAAAATACAACAAGATACATAAAAAATAAAAATAATAACTAATGAGTTCGGAAAACACTAACTGCATAAACTAACTAACTGTTTTAATGGGGGTGTAGTATGCTCCCTATAACCAGGCCCAGTTAGTAATCTGGCTGCCGACTTTTGGGCTAATTGCAGTTTCCGAGACATCTTGAAAGGCAGCCACGTAGAGTGCATTGCAGTAGTCCATTCTAGATGTAACTAAGGCATGGAGCACCGTGGCCAAGTCAGGCTTTTCGAGGTTGCAGTTGCTGCACAAGGCCCTCCCAGCCACCGCCAACACCTGGGCTTCAACTGTCAGTGCTGAGTCCAGGAGGACCCCCCCCCCCCAGACTGCGGGCCTGTGTCCTCAGGGGAAATGTAAACCTGTTGAGCACAAGTTGCTACTCTATACCCTGACTGGCCTCAAGGACCGCTGTCTTGACCGGATTAAGCCTGAGCTTCTTGGCCCTTACCCAGTCCATCACATAGAATCATAGAGTTGGAAGAGACTTCATGGACCATCCAGTCCAACCCCCTGCCAAGAAGCAGGAAAATTGCATTCAAAGCACCCCTGACAGATGACCATCCAGCCTCTGTTGAAAAGCTTCCAAAGAAGGAACCTCCACTACACTCTGAGGCAGAGAGTTCCACTACTGAATGGCTCTCACAGTCAGGAAGTTCTTCCTAATGTTCAGATTGAATCCCCTTTCTTGTAGTTTGAAGCCATTGTTCCGCGTCCTAGTCTCCAGGCCAGCAATAATAATAATAATAATAATTATTATTATTATTATTATTATTATTATTTATTTGACCAGTCATATGACCATTTCAAAATAGAACATGAGTAAAAAAACAAGGCGAAAAGGTGAGGACAGCAGCTGACCTTCTATTTATAGTCAGAATTTTATTTTCCTGGTTCTTCTTTCTGGAAATCTGCTCTTTTCTTTATAGGTTTCAGAATAAAAAGGCTTACTCTGATTATGTTGGATCTTTCCTGACCTTGCAAGAGGGATGTCAGAATATCATTTCTGTTGGGGGACCTGCAGTTGGATAATATTGGATGTAAATATCTGTCTCGCAGTTCAGTATATGCTGGACAGTCAATTAAGAAATGTTCAATACCTTCCTCAGTTTGTTCTCCCCATACGCATAATCTCTCACTTCTTGGGATGTTACAGTAATGCCCAGTTTGCATCATAATACCAAGTTGTTCAAACCTAGCCCTAGTATATATTCTTCTTAAGGGTAGCGGAAGTGGAATAGTCAGATAGTGTTCTAAATTAATATTCCTTTTGTGAGAAGCTATTCCAGGATACCATCCATCCATATTATTATTATTATTATTATTATTATTATTAAACTTTATTTGTACCCCGCTAGCATCTCCCGAAGGACTCGATGCGGCTTACAAAGGCCAAGGCCTCAACACAACAACAGCAAACAATAACAATCCAATACAAAGCAAAAATTAAAACATAAGCAATGACAAAAACATTACACTATTACACATTAAAAACAGGGTGGCCCAACAGGTTAAAAAGTGCTGGATGTGACGCTGGTATATTGGAATTCTGGGCAAGTGCAATGTGCAGAGTCTTAACTCTAATAAAGTGCTTCTGGGACATGGTGCTGGGGGTTATCCTATTCTGGGAAGGCACATCTGAATAGCCAGGTCTTCAAGTTCTTCCTAAAGACTGCCAACGTGGGTGCTAGTCTAATGTCTTTGGGGAGGGTGTTCCAGAGTCGGGGGGCAACCACAGAGAAGGCCCTGTCCCTCGTCCCCACCAAACGTGCCTGTGATGCAGGTGGGATCGCGAGCAATGCCTCTCTGGATGAACGAAGGGAATGCATGGGTTCATAAACAGAAGACAGAAGGGAGCAGAAGACACTTCCATCTTGACTTCTGCCTATATCATCACTTGAGAGGCCCCTCCCCCTTCTGGCACCAACGGCTGCTCTGGCCAGAGCGAAGACAGAAGGGAGCAGAAGACACTTTCATCTTGTCTTTACTAATAATATAATATAGTATATTGTATATACATATAATATTTATAGTATTATAATGTAATACAATATAATACTAGTAATAATAATATTATAATTATAATTATATATTTACATTACATGTAATATTACTAATAATATTACAATATAATAGTATAGTGCAATATAGTAATATACACTGATATTGTACTATGCTAATAATATAATATATTGTATGAAAATATATATTGTAAGCCGCTCTGAGTCCCCTTCGGGGTGAGAAGGGCGGCATATAAATGCCGTAAATAAATATATAAATAAATAATAAATAAACGGATATGCGGTCACGCAGGTAGGCAGGTCCCAAACCGTTTAGGGCTTTGTAGGTAAGCACCTGCACCTTGAATTGGGCTCGGTAGGTAAACGGCAGCCAATGGAGTTCCTTAAACAGGAGGGTTGACCTCTCTCTGTAAGGAGCGCCAGTTAACATCCTGGCCGCCCGTTGGACCAGTTGGAATTTCCGAGCCGTTTTCAAGGGCAGCCCCACGTAGAGCGCATTACAGTACATATTTATACATGGCTATCATATCTCCTCTCGCCCTTCTTTTCTTCAGGCTAAACATGCCCAGCTCCTTTAGCCGCTCCTCATAGGGCTTGTTCTCAGACCCTTGATCATTTTAGTCACCCTCCTCTGGACACATTCCAGCTTGTCAACATCTCTCTTGAATTGTGGTGCCCAGAATTGGACACAATATTCCAGGTGTGGTCTAACCAAGGCGGAATGGAGGGGTAGCATTACTTCTCCCTGGGGAAGGCAATGGCAAACCATCCCAGTATCCTTGCCAAGAAAACTAAATGGACCAGTACAACCAGAGATATGTCGGTATGCCATTGGAAGATGGGACTCCCAGGTCGGAAGATGGCCAAAATGCTACTGGGGAGGAGGAGAGGATAAGTTCAACTAGCCCCAGATGTGATGACGCAGCTAGCTCAAAGGAAGGCCTAGTCAAAGCCATGGTATTCCCTGTAGTAACCTATGGATGTGAGAGCTGGACCTTAGGGAAGGCTGAGCGAAGGAAGAGAGATGCTTTTGAACTGTGGTGTTGGAGGAAAGTTCTGAGAGTGCCTTGGACTGCGAGAAGATCCAACCAGTCCATCCTCCAGGAAATAAAGCCCGACTGCTCATTGGAGGGAAGGATACTAGAGATAAAGTTGAAGTACTTTGGCCACATCATGAGGAGACAGCAAAGCCTAGAGAAGACAATTATGCTGGGGAAAGTGGAAGGTAAAAGGAAGAGGGGCCGACCAAGGGCAAGATGGATGGATGGCATCCTTGAAGTGACTGGACTGACCTTGAAGGAGCTGGGGGTGGTGACGGCCGACAGGGAGCTCTGGCTTGGGCTGGTCCGTGAGGTCACGAAGAGTCGGAGACGACTGAACGAATGAACGACAACAGACACTAGACTCTTATTGATGCAGTCCAAAATCCCACTGGCTCTTTTTCCCGCCAGGAAGCTTACGCAGGCAGGGCAATATACATCAAGTGAAGGCAATAGTCTCAGATGTAAGAAAGTTCAGACAGGAATGCTGTTTTGATGGGCTGAACCAAATGGGATCCTCAAAGGAGGGAGAAAAGTTCAAACAGAACCCAGGAATACAAATAAAGTATTATTATTATTATTATTATTATTACTATTATTGTTATTATGCACAAAATGCTTTTGACACGAAATGAAATAAGCAGTTAAAGAGGGACAACAGTATTACAACAGTGCAGTGTGGCAGGGCCTTAAGGAAGACTGAGGCCTACAAGCCTTCACAGTGGACACCCTGCGCATGCGCACAAGGGGCCCCCTCCCCTCACAGCCTTCCAGGCCCAACGGTAGCCGGTTCCGAGTAAAAGCTCCTCGGCCCCTCGCTCGCCCCCTTCCCCCGCCCTCTACTCACCACGAACACGGCCTCCGGGATCCCCAAGTGGCCCCTTTTCCCGCCCCCCGCCGGGCCGTCGCCACAAACCACCGCCTCGCCGCTTGTGGCCGCCGCCATTTTGGGGAGGAGAAGAAGACGAGGGGCGGGGTTAAACGGCACGAAAGGACACGCGCATGCGCGTCAACGCGCCCGAGGCTCCTAAAGGAAAGGGGCTCGGCGTCGCCTGACGACAGCGACGACGCTAAAGCGACGTGGGTGGGACAAAGCGTTCCCCGATTGGTCAAGAGCGGCCTTGATTGACTGATTGGAAAGAACCCTTATGGCGCATGCTCAGTCCTAGGCTGGAGCTGGAGGGAGGTAGTCTGTGATCATTTGGATTGCAAAGTTACTTTTTTTTTTTGGACTCTTGCTCCCAAATACAATCACCCAACACTGAGTGGAGAGTTGGGGAGATATATATTTATACAATGTAATGTTTATTGTTTATACATTTATACAATATGTTCTTTATTTATTAAATACATAAATAGCAATATAATAATATATAGAAATAATAACTTTGTAATGTAATGGTGTTGGTATATTGTATATTGGTATCTTGTATGTAATATTAATGTAATTTAGTATATTACATATTGTATATTTAGTATATACAATATATTCAGTACAATTTAGAATATATTTAGAAGCACTGCCTGAAACAAAAAGTGGGTGCTCAAAACAATATCATACAAAAGCTGACTGGCACAACCTGGGGATCACAACCAGATACAGTGAAGACATCTGCCCTTGCGTTATGCTTCTCTGCTGCTGAGTACGCATGCCCAGTGTGGAACACATCTCACCACGCTAAAACAGTGGATGTGATTCTTAATGAGACATGCCGCATTATCACGGGGTGTCTGCGCCCCAAACCACTGGAGAAATTACACTGCTTAGCAGGTATTGTACCACCTGACATCTGCTGGGAAGTAGCAGCCAATAGTGAAAGGACCAAGGCAGAGACATCTCCAGCTCATCCCCTGTTTGGGTATCAGCCAGCACGTCAACGACTTAAATCTAGAAATAGTTTTCTAAGATCTACAGAGACACTCGCTGGAACACCTCAGCAAGCGAGAGTCCAAAAGTGGCAGGCTCAAACCCAGCACCTCAACCAATGGCTGATACCAAATGAGAGACTCCCTCCTGGGCACACAGAAGACTGGGCGACTTGGAAGGCGCTGAACAGACTGCGCTCTGGCACCACGAGATGCAGAGCCAACCTTCAGAAATGGGGCTACAAAGTGGAATCCTCGACATGCGAGTGTGGAGAAGAGCAAACCACTGACCACCTGCTGCAATGCAACCTGAGCCCTACCACATGCACCATGGAGGACCTTCTTGCGGCAACACCAGAGGCACTCCAAGTGGCCAGATACTAGTCAATTGACATTTAACCAACTACCAAACTCACAAGTTTTGTATTTTATCTGTTTGTTTGCTTTGTTCTGTTAGAAATGTAATATAATGGACTGGTTGCTCTGACACGACAAATAAATAAACGTGTGGCAGCCAGGCTGTTAACTGGTGCTCCTTACAGGGAGAGGTCAACCCTCCTGTTTAAGGAGCTCCATTGGCTGCCATTTATTTTCCGGGCCCAATTCAAGGTGCAGGTGCTTACCTACAAAGCCCTAAACGGTTTGGGTCCCATCTACCTTTGTGACCGCATTTCTGTATACGAACCCACATGACCTCTGTGTTCATCTGATGAGGCCCTGCTCACAATCCCACCTGCTTCACTGGCGCGATTGGTGGGAACGAGGGACAGGGCCTTCTCGGTGGTGGCCCCGCGACTCTGGAACTCCCTCCCCAAGGACATCAGACAGGCCACAACATTGGCAGTCTTTAGAAGGAGCTTGAAAACATGGATGTTTCAGTGTGCCTTCCCAGAATAAGGAATCCTAAGCAGTAAGTCCTTAATGCACTTTATGAGAGATTTAGAACTGTCTGCACTTTCTCCTATCCCAAAACATTCCTCCTATCCCCTGTGAACTTCCCAGTTTTTAACTTTAAATCTTTACATTTGGCCCTGCCTCATGTTTTTAAACTGTGTCATGTTATTATTGTATTGTTTTTGCTTTTTGAGTTATTAGTTGCTGTTGTTGTTTTCATGATGTTTTGGGCTTGGCCTCCTGTAAGCCGCACCAAGTCCTATGGGAGATGGTAGCGGGGTATAAAAACAATAAATACATAAAAAATATAAATAAATATGTAATAATAATGTTGTAATTTAATATATTACATACTGTATATACTACAACTTAGGATATGGTACAATCTATATAAATAAAAATGTAATGTTCGTTCGTGGGATTAACATAGCTCAAAAACCATCTGAACATGAGGAAGAACTTCTTGACTGTGAGAGCCGTTCAGCAGTGGAACTCTCTGCCCCAGAGTGTGGTGGAGGCTCCTTCTTTGGAGGTTTTTAGGTTGGCCCATGAGGTCTCTTCCAACTCTATGATTCTATGATTCCTTCCTTCCATCCTATCTTTTTTCTTTCCTTCCTCCTTTCCTCATATATTTTCTCCTCTTCCTTTCCCTCATACTTTCCCCCTCTTATTTCCTTTCTCATCCCTCCCTTATTTCATCCTTCCTTTCCTTCCCTCATACCTTTCCCGTTTCTTTTCTTTCCTTCCTTTTTCTTCTCCCTTCTTTTTCTTCCTTTCTCTTCTCTCATTTTTATTCTCCTTACATCCTTTCTTTTTTCCTTCCTCCTTTCCCCATACATTTTTTCTTCCTTTCCCTCTTCTCTTTCTCATCTCTCCCTTCTTTCATCCTTCCTTTCCTTCCCTCATACCTTTTCCCATTTTTCTTCCTTTTTTTTCTTCTCCCTTCTTTTTCTTCTCCCTTCTTTTTCTTCCTTTCTCTTCCCTCATTTGTCTTCTCCTTTCATCTTTTCCTTTCTTTTTCTTTCCTTCCTCCTTTCCCCATACATTTTCTCTTCCTTTCCCTCATACCTTCTCCCTCTTTCTTCTTTCTCATTCCTCCATTCTTTCATCCTTCCCTCATACCTTTTCCCATTTGTTTTCTCCTCTCCTTCCCTTTTTATTCTTTCTTTTTCTTTCTCTTCCTTCCTTTTCTTTCTCCCCTTCCCACCCTTCTTTCCTTACCCTCATATCTTATATCTTTTTGTTTCCTTCCATCTTTTTCTTTTCCCCCTCCACCGTCCGTCCTTTCCCCACCTTTCTTTCTTTCTTTCTTTCTTTTTTTCTTTCTTTCCTTCCTTCCTTCCTTCCTCCCTTCCCCTCAACACACATGCCACCTCTTTTCCCCCCTAGTAAAATCACAGAGGGCCACTTCACCTGGCAACAGCCAATCCTTCTGAAAAGGTGGCCAAGTGTTGCTTTTTTCCATCTCAGATCACAAAGCATGAGCCTTCCTGATAATTTTGGAATTGACAGAAAGCAACCCTCATTTCTTGAAACTTTTGAATGGGTCCTTCCATTGCATAAATTCACAATGGTGCCGAGGAAATGATACAGTTTGCTAAATAACCAATATGTGATTGCCTCGAAATTAAAGGTGATTTTAACAGATATTACACACGCACAGATCCAAGCCAACTTTGTGCCAAAGTTTATTTTTCAAAACTTGTTTCATTAACAAAATGGAGGATTCTATGCAACAGTCTCAATCATTTCCATTTCTATACATCCTGCCAAGTTATGAAGGGTCGAGATTATCAAAACGTTAACATAGCATACCTTGTGCTTCAGCAAAATAAGGAATTGGGAGAAAAGAAAGGAATTGAAAACAATTTTTTTTTGGCTAGATGCATCATGGTCACTTTTCACAACTTTTCAGAGAGAAATTACATCCATCTACAAAAGAACATGCAGAATTGGGCAAAAGACATACTCTGAGCAGGTGAAATATCACATTAGACCCCACTGATCTGTATCAAGTATGATGTATTTTAAAAACTTAACTGAGAGAAGCATTTCAAATGTGATAAAAAAAATGCAGAATCCATATTTTATTTCAAAATACATTCAATCCATAATGTCTTCTTAACTTGACAGCTTGGATTTCCAGGTTGAATTAAATGGTTACACGGGCTTTAAATATGATGATTTTTAAAAAATAAAACAATAGGTTGAACCCAGGTTGACAAAGGACCTCATCACACTAGAGAATGAATCCACTTTCAATCTGGTTTCTGCCTCCTGCAGAATTCTGGGGTTTGTAGTTTAGGGAGGAGTCTTTAACAGTGGGTTAAACCCTTGTGCCGGCAGGACTGAAGACCAACAGGTCGCAGGTTCGAATCCGGGGAGAGGCGGATGAGCTCCCTCTATCAGCTACAGCTCCTCATGCGGGGACATGAGAGAACCATTCCACAAGGATAATAAAAACATCAAAATTATCCGGGCGTCCCCTGGGCAACGTCCTTGCAAACGGCCAATTCTCTCACACCAAAAGCGACTTGCAGTTTCTCAAGTCGCTGCTGACACAACAAAAAAAAACAACTAAATTACAAACCCCAGAATTCTGCAAGAGACAGAAACTGGATTTAAAGTGGATTCATTCTCTAGTCTGATGAAGTAAAAAGTAATGTTCTTGATTAATTTGGTGCGTCATGTAACTCTTGCATTGACAAAGATCACACTATTGTTGGTTGATCGTGGTGAATTGAAAGACTTTCGATGCAAACATCCCATTATTTAACCCGCAGGGAGTTCAAGTAATGTGGCAACAGTCACTGGCATCAAAACTGGTTTAAAAACTTTGCATTGTATAAAGCAAAGGGGAAAATCTTTAAAATCCAATATATGTATTTACACTACAGTTACAGCAGCTCTATACCACTTTGTCACGGTTCCATTCTATGGGATCTTGGGAATTATAGTTCCGCTCTTCTGAAGTACACTAGCAATGTCACGCAAAGAAGTGCAAAATTCAGCAAATTACAAATCCCAGGATTCACAGGAGACAGCCATGGCACTTAGACTACGACTGAAAGACTGTAGCATCGACTCGGGTTCAAGTAGAATCTTTCTTCCAGAGCAATCTCCATCAAGCTCTGCACAGAATTAATAAACTGGAGATATACATTTTGTAAAATCTGGCTTATAGGTTTCTTTAAAAATGGCCAACAAACTTTCACATCAGAAAAACTA